TGGAATAATTAAGCAGATAAGGTTTTTTCCCCCCGTTTTGTTCTAAATACTTGCTGCTGATCAAGACATCAAAGCCAGACAGTCAGCATACCAGCCAAGAAACTAGTATTTTTAGAAGGAGGTCTGTAACTGCTCTGCTCCTGGAACGCGCTTGGTGTGAACAAGGCCTTTGGCTATTATTAGGCCTTAGGCCTTGTTCACACCAAACGCGTTCCAGGAGCAGAGCAGTTACAGACCGGATCAAAACTGCGTCCAATGTATTCCAATGGTATTTTGGGCTCCAGTTCACACCGCAGTGTTCAGTTCCAGAGCATGTATAAAAACTGCAGCAAGCCCTATTTTACCTGCCCCGGAACGCATCAAAAACGCATGCAAACTCACTGGAACACACTGAAAGCCCATCTTAAACTTAAAAAAACCCCACTTTTTTAACCAAAAACGACCCTGAACGCATCAAAAAAGCGGCACAACTCACTGCACTGCGTGTGCAGAAACTCATGCAGATCTGCCAGAAAAAAAACGCAAATCGCTGTAAAAAAGCGCGGCAAACGCGCATATTCCGTACACCCAGGTGTGAACCCAGCCTTAAGGTCTTTGATCGTGCCCAGACGATCAGAAGTGATACATCTCAGGCAAAGAGATACATTGTATCTCTTGTATGTTTTTGCCGGAAATGTTTCATAAACTTCCGCTATCGGGCTGTAAAAACAAATAGCAGAGAGGTGAGTCACTCTGCTACCTCTCTGCTATTTTCAGCTGTCAAATACAGGATTGCTATTTAGCGATCCGGTATTTGTATGTAACGGCTTCATTCTTTCATTAAAGGAGAACTATGGTGTCAGGGCTTTTCCCCATAGTTCTCCTTAGGGTAACGGGAGGACACAAACTAGCGTCCTCCCCTCACCCTATGCTCAGTATACCGCGAGCTACAGCTCCCTATATACTGAGACGCCGTAGCTGAAGCGGATCCCGACAATTATGTCTGGATCCGCCCGGCTGCGTGAGTGACAGCTGGCTCTGCCTATCTAGAGGCAGAGCCAGCTGTACCCGTCAGATCCGCCAGTCAGCGCTGGCGGATCGGAGCGGGGAGGGGGGAATCCAGCCCCTCCCCTGTCATGGCAGAGTGCCGTGACAGGATCGAGAAGTGAGCGAACGCCGGTATGTGTTTGCTCACCTCCCGATCCACTGAGCCGACCTGTGACAGTCTCATTGTCACAGGTCGGCTAGAACTATGAGGTGAGTGAAAAGCACTCACCTCATAGTTCTCCTTTTAATGAAAGAAAGAAGCTTTTACAAAAGCTTAACTATTTAAAAATTGAATGCCTCAATACTGCGACATTCATTAATGACTGGTAACCGCTGAGAATCAGCGGTTACCGGCATTACAGAGCCTTAAATAACTTGTCATGTAGAGTGTACGTGGCCAGTCATATAGGCACTTTGTGACGGGACGTACAGTGTATGTCTCCCATCACGAAGGGGTTAAAATTTGTTTGCACAGGACCTCTTCAAGATAAACATGACGTTGTATCGGCATATCTACACATGGGAAAAGTTTACTTAGTGTAAAGCATGATTAGCTTTGATGCATGTATAAAATACAGTGTGTGCCCCATTTCTCCCCCCCAGAGATAGTTGCTTTGTAATTTCTATTATTTTTAACCTGTTCTGGTAACCACATGACCCCATTTTGGTTGGTGTGATGTTATCACGGTTCCCCTGTTGCAGGTGCCCTAATATATTTGGACTGGGAATATTTAAAGATCTAAATCTTGGAGCAGGTGCTGCCTCTGTGGTCTAATAGCCAATCTGGATCGGTTTTCGGTGCCTTTTCGTGCTTTAATCTCTCATCGTGAAGTTTTTTTTTTCTTCATCATGTAGTTACCCACAGTAAGAAAATTGAGTGAATGTGACTTTTGATGTACAGTCATGGCCAAAAATATTGGCACCCCTGCATTTCTGTCAGATAATGCACCACTTCGCACAGGAAATAGTTGCAATTACAAATGTTGAGGCATTCTCATGTTTATTTCTTTTGTTTATATCGGTATGACACAAAATTAACAGCTTTTTGATGAAAAATTAGGTCTTTAGAGGTTCAGTGATGTTTGGGGTTGCTTTGCTGCTTCACACACTGGATGTCTTGACTGTGTGCACGGCATTGTGAAATTTGAAGACTACCAAAGAATTGTCGGGTGCAATGTAGGGCCCAGTGTCAGTAAGTTCGGTCTCCGTCAGAGGTCATGGGACTTACAGCAGGACAATGACCCAAAGCACATGTCAAAAAGCACCCAGAAATAGTTTCAGACAAAGTGCTGGAGAGTCCTGGGCTGACCAGCAATGAGTCCAGATCTGAATCCCATAGAGCAGTTGTAGAGAGATCTCAAAACAGCAATTGGGAAAAGGAACCCTTCCAATCTGAGAGACCCGGAGCAGTTGGCGAAAGAAGAGTGCTCCAAAATTCCTGTAGAGAGGTGTAAGAAACTCATTGATGGTTATTGGAAGCCATTGATTCAGTTATTTTTTTCCAAGGGCTGTGCTACCAAATATGAATTGAGGGTGCCAATAATTTTGTCCAGTCTTCCGTGAAATGTGTCAGATTTGGCTTTTTTATTCTCCACTTTTTTGTGTCATACCAATGCAAACAAAAGAAATAAACATGAAAGTGGAACAATTTTCTGTGCAAAGTGGTGCAATATCTGACAGAAATGCAGGGGTGCCAATATTTTTGGCCATGACTGTACTTAATTTTCGCATATGTGAAAGACGACTTAAAGTAGAAGGAAAGGTTAAACAATAAACTTACTTTAAAAAGTTTCCCTTCCCATTGTCCTGCACACATTTCAGCATAAATCACAATGTAAATACCTTTTTACCCAATTTTTGTATGTATAGTCACTTGACTGCTAAGCTGCGGCTCCTCTGTGTAATGTGTAGAACGGAAAATGGGGCTGAATAGAGTAGTCATTTCACCCACCGGTGTCCACTGCTCTAGTCATTAACATGGGGGAGCCGGAGCTTTGTGGTATACATGTTTTTGTCAAAAATTTAGTTTTATGCTAAAGTGTATGCAGGGTAATGGGGAGGCAACATTTTATGGTAGGTTTGTTTAGCCTTTCCTTCTAATTTTAGGCTTTATTCACATGGGGTGGCTGGGGATTCCTGCAGCAAGAACCTACGGATTCTTCGGCAGGAATCCCAGGTGGGCCTGTACAGATGCCCATTCAAGTAGTTAATTACAGGCTGACAGCGACCACATCTATCAATGGCCATGGAAACATTTCCTGCAGTTTGAGATAAATCATTGTCTCTGGACGCAGACAGATTGCATCCAGGGACAGTTATTTATCCCGCACCACAGCTTTACGGACACACTTGGGATTCCTGACTGCAAGAATTTCCATCTGCAGCCTGAAGCGCATTGTGAATGGGGCCTAAATTGCATCGTTCAGTCCTATCTTACGCCAGTCTGAGACATTTAACTTACCTGGGGAAAATTCTGCTGCAGGGTTCCCTCCAGTGCTGGTCATGTGATGGAAAACCTAGCCATTTGGTCTTGTAATCTCTGATGAAGAGGAAAAAGTAGCCAGTCTGAATTTTAATGGTCCACTATAACAGTGGTCTTGTAACGGGTTTCTTAAAATGGACCTCGATTCACAAATAGAAGATTTTCTATGTAATTTACAAATGTTTGTTGCTCCTACATTGTCCTCTAAAACAATGTATCGAAAAACCGGTATTGGTGCATCCCTAGTCATTATATCCCATATTGTCCAGCAGTGGAATGGAAAAATAAAATTCTGTATTTACGTTTTCATTTAGAAATAATGACATTTATTTTAAATATTTGTATACATTATCATGTGGCTGTGCTGCAGCAATAGGAGACATATTTGCAAAGATAAATGTAAGGGCCGGAGCAGACTTCGGCGATCCCGGGACTGCGTGATCGTCTGCGTGTGCACACAGCGGTTGCCGCAGGCCCCATTGATTTCAATGGGGTTACATCCGCGCGGCAATCGCTGAAAAAAGACAAATGTACCTTTTTTGGCGACACGCACCGTGCAGTTTTTTAAGCCGCGATCGTGTGCGATTGCAGGAGCGGTATCGCGGCGTGGAAACTGCACGATCTGGTTGGGGCAACTGAGGTGCCACTAGAAAATAATTGGCACCGCCAGCACGATTGGCGGTGGTGTGTGATTCCGTGACCATGCCGCCACCTGCGCAGTTTTGAGCACGATTTCTACCTAACTTCATATAAAGTTTTTGTCCCAGGTCAGGAACTTAGGAGGCCAGGATAAAAATCTGTATCTGTACTTTCCATGTAACTATTGAACACACACAGAAAATATATCAAATACAAATATTTATAGACGTTGATTGTAAAATTCAAATGCATATTAGCAGGGGTTGAAGTTTCCTAAAATGTTTTTTATATATGATCTTCAGCTGAACTTTAAAGGGTCAGTCCACCCAAAAGTGATATTTTATTTTATAGGAACATTTTGGGAATTTTAATGACTGAGTTCCTTTTCTTTTTTTTAAATCTAATTAGGTCTTTAGCAGAAAGTTGTCTAATTTCCAATCCCTATTGAGGTATTACTATTGAATTTCTTGACTCCATCTTCTTGGCATCTTGAATTCAAGAAAACTCTGGAACTCAGATATTGAGATCACTGAAAAACAAGCGGATAATTCCAACACGGACAGTCCATTCTAACAAGAACTCTTTTGGGTAAACTGACCCTTCTGTATGTTGGTTTTCATGCACACAGGAAATCAGAATGGTTTAGTTCCTCTCTCGAATGTGTTACATGAAGTTTGACGTTGTGTAATAACCTGACTTTTCCTCCTGAGACTAGTTCTGCAGACGCCTGCTGCCAACCTCCTTCTCACAAATGGAAAACCACCAGAGACCGAGAGATACCACTAACTGAACCCCAGCTTCCACCTGCTCTCGTTTACTGGAAATGAATGACTGTGCCCTTTTTTATTTTTAGGTTTGGCTGGCTGGCATGGGTAATCTCATTAAAGTGCTAACCAGAGACATAGACCACAATGCCGCACATTTTTTCTTGGATTTTGAAAGTAAGTCTCTCACAGGCCGTGGCCCAGCTGCTGTGTGTTCTCTGTAACCCATTCTCACCATCACAGTGAATGGCAGTGGGAACCGTCTGTTGATGGGAAAACAGGAGCCATGGGATTGCTTATCATAGCGTAGGGCCAGAGAGAGGACCACCATGGCTGGCTAGTTGTCGTCAGATCCCATGTCTTGTTTGAGGGTCCTTTGTGATCAGCCACTTTATTTTTTTTAATATTAATAAGTTACCCAGCCAGAGTAAGACGTTCTCAGTTGCCAGTGATGACTGCACAGTGGTGCCCGCCCATGCAGAACTAGAAGGTACAATATTCAAGCGTGGTGTTCATTGATGACCTTTATAAGTGTACCTGCCATTTTGTTTTCTACATCAATCTTTAGGCAAGCGCATGCCTCTCAGTTCCTTCAGAACTAGTGACGTCACCATAGCACAATGTATTATCTTCCCAATCTAATAAGAAGTTCCTAAATTCACAATTTTTGCTTCCATTTGGCATTCGGTTTGTCGAGAAAATTATGCTTAAAACTCATGGCCAGTTTATAGTTTTCTTTTTTATCACCCAATATGACTAGCAGCACTTAAACCAGTTGCATCACCAGGAAACGTTGTACTCTATGTGGTTAGGATTGGCTTGCTGACGAGACAAAAAATAGATCCTGCCTTTTCTTATGGGTTTAGGAGGTAGGATCTAAAGCCAGTTCTGATCCTTACCATAGAGAATAGAACTGCTTATATTCAGTATATGAAAAGATATATATGAACTCTTGGGTCCTAATTATCTGAAATCCATTTTTGGCTACATAGTTCAGTTCTGCAATGTGTTGCACGCGCACTGTACAGCGTCACTGGCAAAACGTTCACAAGAAAACTGGTGGAAATCTTGGTGGCAAGGTCTCAAGTCTATACGTTCCTCTGGTTCTCTGGCCATCATGCTCTAAACCTTTGGCCTTCATACTTATTTGTATTTCCCTTCTGTAATTTAGGGTGTTCTGTCTCATTAAGACATGCTTTATCTATTATTTATGTTTCTCGTTCTTGTCTTAACAGGTGTCTTAACATGGGGAACCTTCTTAAAGTTTTGACATGCACAGATCTTGAGCAAGGGCCAAATTTTTTCCTTGATTTTGAAAGTGAGAATTTGATTTTATATATCTCTTCCTCTCTGCCTGCCGTAGACTGCGTTTGCTTTCTGCACTCCTTGTCTGTCTGCCTTGTGTCTGTCCTTTCAAACAGGACTTTGAAATCTTCCACTGCTTGAAAATAGATTTTTCCACTCATAGGAGTGTAGGACTTTTTCTTGGTTTAGGAGTGATTGGGCAAAGGTCAGGGTTCTTCATGGGTAGTGAGGGGGATCGCTCCAGTGTAAACACAGCAACCAAAACCTGATGCAGATACTAACCCTTTCCTACTCTACCAAAAAAGTCATTTATGGCTGTATGTGTCCCCATTCCCCCTCACTTCCTATGTTGATGTGGAGATCTGTGAAATGAATCGCCTACCAGTTTTTATGATTTGAGAAGACTCCAGTTGTGAAACTTTGGTCATGGAGTTCCTAACTCTTCATCCCACCCATCTGTGTGATAACCAAGTCAGACTGTGCCCATGCTCCCTTTGCAGTCTTTATGATGGAAAGTAAACCAATGGTCTCCTTGTAATGGAAGTGGTAGGTGGACTGAGCCGGGAACTTGGGCTTTTTATATCTTCCAGGGGTCTCCATGAAATGTAGGAAAACTGGTAATTAAACTTTCCAGCATCTACCCAAAACTGAAGCTTTTGGGAACAGTTCATATAGTTATCAAACCTGCATTATCATTTGAGTCACGTGTAGGCCACAGGTTATTTAACCTCTCCTGGTACCCATCCAAGCCTGGGATGCCTTTTTTGTCTTTTTGAAAAAACTCTACAAGTGCAGAAGAATACCTGCTGATGGTGCCAGAGATCCATTAAGCTCCTAACTACCTGTTTGAGCTGACAAAACAGTGTCTTCTGCATTGAAATCCCAACCAGCGTTGTCAGCCCTACTTGAAAGTTTCCATGCTGGACTGCAGAGCAACTCCCTTTAAAGTGACACTAAACTTAGGGGTTAGAGGATAAGTTCACCTTTTGCAAAAATGAAAGAAATGCATAATAATACATATATATATGAAAATATGCATTTCTTTAATATTCGCATTCAAGCCTGGAAAGCATTGCAATTTTACGTCAAGATAGGAGGCTCATATTTGCATCATCTTTGTTTACTGACACCAACAGCAGCAAGAAATAGTTAACAAAACTGACCAATCAATGCACCCAATGCCATAAATACTAGAGATGCCCCACCCAGATCCTCTTTTCTGCATGAAATCACCTCATATGGTGTCCAGCTGTCCTCGCTCTAGGCAGATGCAGGAATATGGGCAGCTTTACCTAGAGCGAGGACGGCTGGACGACGTATGAGGTAATTTAATGCAGTTTGAAGTCCAGCCGTCCTTCCCCCATCTCTCCTAACTGAAACTCCGTCCCTCAGTACAAGCTCTGCCTGGGAGAGAATGTGCAGAAGCCTGAGCTTTGCAGCTGTGATCAAGTGATCACAATTGCAATGCTTTCCAGGCTTGAATGCAAATATTAAAGAAATGCATTTTTTATATATATTATTAATTATGCGTTTATTTATTTTTTGCAAAAGGTGAACTGATCCTTTAAACCTTAAAAATACATTAAAGTACCCTATTAACAAAAATGTATCTTATTTGTGTATCACTCAGCTGAAGATCCTCCAATCATTTCTGAATTGGTGCTGACACTGTCCTTCCTTCTGGAGGGGGGCTACTTTTGTTCCCCATGGTCCCTGCGTGTGTTGTAAATTAGTCACCGCTCCAAGCTCGCTCCCGTGATCGGCTACAATCTCGTAACAAAAACTAAACATGAGACTGTAGTCCATAACGGGAGAGGGCTTGGGGCGGTGACTACTTTACAACACACACAGGGACCATGGGGAACAAAAGTAGCCACCCTCCAGAAGGAAGGACAGTCTCGGCACCAATTCAGAGATGATTGGAGGATCTACAGCCGAGTGATACACAAATAAGATACATTGTTGTTAATAGGGTACTTGAATGCAATTTTAAGATTTAACCCTTGAGTTTAGTGACACGGAGTTATGGAGACACAAGTCCAGGATGAAGAATTGGGTAGGAATTGGGCAGCACATATTTTCTTGACCAGCGCTTTCTTAAGGGTATAGAACATTTAAAAAAAAAT